CCCACTCTGGAAGCTGAAGACAAGACACTCCGTTTCCCCCACTTGCCTGGAATTTGGGTTCCATCAACCAACCCAGGCTTTGCAGCAAAAGCTGCAGAAACAAAGAAACAGAGGCTGAAATGAGCAAAGATTTTGCATTGGTGGCAATTGTAGTTTCTGGAAGAATTCTTGGAGTATGATACTCAGTAGCAGACACTGTAGCTCCTTGGTAGACCAATTCTGCTAAGCCTGATTATATGAGTGTTGGTCTTGGCTGCACAGCCTCTCAAACTGGTTCTTGTTCCTGCAGACTGTGTACCATTTTAAACACACAGCACCCTTTATAGGTAAATACAAATTTTAAAACCCACGTTGACAGACATGTAGATATGCAGTTATAAGGCGAACACCCTTGTAAACAACATTCATGACCAAGATATGATTTTGTTGTCCCCCAAACCCTGTTGTGTGCCCCCACAATTTTTAACTCCATGACTTAGCGACTAAACCAATCAACCCTAAGAATACCCCTGCCTTTTAGAGTAGCCAATTCCTTAATATTCCTTGTCTGTACTTCCCTAAACACATGGTTTAGTTCTGCTTGTTATTCCTTTCCGTCTTTTGTTAATTTGCCATCTCTCTCTCCCCAGTGAAACTTAATTGAAGAGACTGGATCAGTTGTCCTGTAAAATTTACTAGTCTGTATTTTATTGACTGATGTAATTTAATATATTCCTGTCAGAGTTCCTATAAAATTGGTAGTTGGATCTAGGTAAGTCTAACCCAGCTGGGTTAGACTATACCCAGCTGCCTTTTCCTTCCTCCCCTATATTTTGACTTACTTCATTATTACTATTCACTACTGCAGCCATTAATAAGTAACAGAAGTCCCCTTCAAAGTACATCGTCCCAGAAAGCCAATTAAGATAACTGTGAAAAGCAGCTGCATTATCATTTACTTCCAGCCAAGAGGTGGTGTGGAGTAGGAGGAAACAAAACGGACAAGCTGGTAATAAGGGGCGATACAGGTTTTAAAGAAAAGCAGTAAACGGAGCTAAGCACTTTTCAAGGGCATTGTTCTTCGTTGAGGTACCAAGGTCAGGCTAAGTGGCTACATTAATTCAATAAGATTAAGGCTACATTCTGGCATTCTTTCTGCTGGCTCTAGCATGTATTTATTACCCCCATTATAATCAGTGTAACAACCAAAGCTTAGGACCTTATCCTGAGAAACTGTGATATGGTGAAGATGAAAATAGACTGGGCCATAGCTTGGTTTCAAAATTCAATTCTACCACCAAGTGGCTGTGCAACCTTAAGCAGATCACTTAACCTGAAAGTTTATTTTGTAAAGTGGTTACTACTTCACCAGGCTGTCGATAACAACCCAAAGAACCTAGAACAGTCCCACAAATACCTAGTCCACTTCCTACTAGGCAAGAAATACTCCTTCACATAAGCCCCTGTACATTAAGCCTGCCCTCTGCCATCATTTAGTTGGGTCTTAACTCAAATTTGAATAGCAACCTTGTATCTGACCTCTAGAATCCTTGTTCCTCTGCTTCCAGCCCATCCAAACTTGTTTTTCTCAAACATACTGCAGGGCTCACGGGGACTCCCCATCGTCTAACACATTGTCCAGTTGGATTTCTGGTTTCTCACACAAGCAAAGCATGTTTCAAATTTGCTTGTGATCCCTTCTTACCCTCCCCTTAGCCCATTCATTCAATGCACATATCTAAGAAACAACTCAAGTGCCTCCTCCTTCAAAAACCATCCCAACTATTCTCACCAACTGAATCTGTTCTTCTATTAACACAGCACTGAAAACCACACTATCTGGCTCTCATATACATTTGCCTGATTACTAGTTCCTTCTGCTTTCTAAACTACAGGGTAAACCTAACAGCAGAGGCTATTGTGTCCTTTCCCTATTCCAATCTCAAAGGCACAATCATAGGCCCCACCTTAAGACATAAAATTCTGTGTTGATGAGAGGTAAACAGGGAAGCATTTAAAATCACTCTAGGTGATCCTTCCAAATACTGCAGTTATAAGAAAACCTCTGCTATGTCCTTCCAGCAGAGATAATCTTGTCAACAAATGTGTACCTTTATTTATTGACTAAGGCCTCAATACAGGATCAAATATTTCACCAATACTACATATAAAAAAAGCCAAAGTTGTTTCTTATGGTTCACCAAAAAAGTGGGAAACACTTCACATGTTTCAGGTAAGAGGACAGTCATTGCTAAAACAAGAATATCTCCTCAGCATGGTAGCCTTACCTTGGTGCCCCTGAGTAATCAGCTGAGTTCAGTTGTAGTTGGCACATTCTAGTAATGTTGGCTGGCAAGTGACTACGGTTGTGTGGTCTCTCGACGCCAGCATGATTCTGTTTTAAAATCCAGTTTCTTCCAACAATAGCTCTTAAAATTGCCTTCCCATCTTTCCCTAGTTGAGAAGTTACCCCCTCTATTTCTGTTCCTCTAATATCCAGTTTGCTATTGCACTATTTTCAGAAGGAATCTTCTATCTTGGACTCCATAAATAAATGAAAACCAAGTCACGCAGTTGGAAATCAAGTTTTGTTTTTATATGAACAGAAGTAGACCATCTAGAAATATTTCAGTTTATTTAAATTGTTAAGTAGAATATGAAACCGAATTTGTAGCTAGTACCAGAGAATGGACTTAACTGTTTGGTGTTTAATGAGAACAGCTTCTACACAGGATCCCAAGAGACTTACAGAAAAAGGGGCAAAGCCCTATTATTAAGCAAATAAAACTCAGGTTTCAAACAGGTTATACAAAAATTGATTTATACTCCATTTCCCTTTTTTTTTTTTTGATATTTAGAAAGTGCAGATTTAACAAAAGGTAGCCATATCCTTTCTATGTACAATGCCGATTATAATTTATTGCAAACAACAAAACTGTCAGTCTGTTACCCAAAAATCCCAGTGTTTAGCTCTCCAACCTTAAGTCACTGAATTGAGTAAGGATTAAAGAGGGTTAAAAGTAAAAAAGCTACTGCCACATTACAGATAAAGGAAAACAACAAACACATTAAAAATTAATCTAACAATAGGTTTAACCTAAAACTTTTGAGAAGCTTAACATCATTTCATTATTATTTTTAGTGGAAAATTAGGGATTATTTGGCAACGCTGCTTTTACTAGTAGTAAACAATGATGAAGTCAAGTGAGGGGAAAACCTAACAACAACCACCAGTGAGGCATATAAAATCACTTTTAGGGCACTATCTGAAAATTCATGGATGTTCATAGCAGATACGTCCCTATGTTGTTTACGTGAGCCAAAAGGTCATTAAAATGCTATCCACGACACAGAAAGACTTTTCAATGGAAGCTGCTGTCCTAAACTCAGCCTCTGCTAGAAATGAATCATGCTATTCACAATTATTTCAACAAAGGTATCATCTTAGGATGCTAGCAGCATAGCAAACTTAACTTACCCTACCCTAATGATAAGCAGTGAAGCCAAACTAGAAAAATGAAGGGGAAAAAATGGCAGGGCAAGAGCGAGCCTAGAGTTTCTTATCTTTACATGAAAAGCCTTTGTTCTTTTTTTCAAATCCAGGGTAATACAAGTTTTCCAAAGGGATGTGAAGACAGGACTTAAAGTCAATAACAGCCTCAAGTACTTCTAAATCTTAAGGTAAAGACAACTTAACACTGAAAAAGTGTTCTTCATGGGCCAAATCTCAATATATTTGGCAAACATGTTAATAAATTTCACTCCTCCTTCCCACCTTTTTAAAACAACTTTGACTGGGCTACCAAACTGCTAGAGGAGTTGCCAAAATGGAGACTATTCAAATTTAGGTTAAGATATTTATTCTAGGAAAGTGAATAGGCTATACACTTAGTTAGAAAGACAAACCACAACACCCTCCAAACACTAGTGCATGCAATTAACTCTTCCATTTCATAAACTCAATGGAGAGAGACAGGAAGGGGAACAAAGGGGGAAAGAGAAGAGCAACGTGAAGTCAACAGCAAATGACGGAATCCGGGACAGAAGCTTTAGGGGAGTGAGAAAATGAGGTGAGGACACGATTAACTGACATTCGATAGTAGGCAGTTAGGATTTATCTTTCAGTTTACTTAGCAAGTTAAATCAGTGCTTTATGTTAAACTCCACAAACCCACTAGTTTACCCCTTTCATTCTTAAATAACTCATACCACAGGGTGGTGGGGAAGAAGCAAATAAAGCAGCATGCAGGAAGAGACACAAGGAAAAAGTGGCCAAGGAAAAGAACTGGTGGCAGGAATAGTTTTAAATATCAAGGCCACTTAAAATGAGACTCAGCAAACCAAAGCTATCATTTCTGTATTATCCTTTGTCCTCAATTAACTACTTTGAAAATTACAGCCAAGCAAACCACAAACATTTTAATGCTTTATGTTTCGATGATATTGTCTCCTGCACATGCTTCCACCAAAACAAAAAAAAAAGGAAAAACCAAATAAGTTCCTTTCCACATAAGGCACAGGACAAAATTAACCCCATTTACATATTAAAGGCGAAAATGAGTGTTTTCCTGGCTTTTTTCTTTTGCTATCACATGTCTATAGATTATAGGGGACTCAAGCACATTATCCATGACAGAAAATTCCACTGTTGTACAAAATAAAATTGTTAATTCTAACTTTTATTCTTATACAATTTGCAGAATAGAGTTGAAATGATTGCTATAGGTTTCAATGTTGATAAGAACTGGACTATAATACAACTGAAATGCAGTGGTGAGCTGAGCAAGTACATTTAAAAATGAACTCACGGACATGATTCTTCTATACATTTTTTGTTTGAGGAAAATTATAAAGTCAGCAAGCAGTCACAGATGAAACAACAAATAAAACAGGTGGACTAGAGAGTTAAGATGAGGAACGAAAATATCTGTTTAAGAGTTAAAAATGGGACAGAGTGGTTTATTTTGCAGCAAGAAGAGAAAACAGGGTGGTGGATGGCAACTGATGGAACAGCAGAGCGCTCAGCAGCATTTGCTCTTCCAGCCTGTCACACCTCCTCCACTGCTGATATCTACGTTTTCACTGTTGGGCTCTTTTACAGGGGTCTGCAACAAACACACAAGGAGAGCAACCCGTGAAAAAACACTGCCATGGATACACCAAGATTCAACAGAAATATTCCCATAAATGTTAATTTATGTAACAAAATGCAATTACAGTCACATGAGATACATATTCTCCTCCACGCAAAGTAAAGAAATGGAAGCTTCATTTTGTCTTCTTCCAATTGTGAAATGTCCACAGGCCTCCTGGCTTCCCTTTGTAGAACTTCTGAAATCTCCTCCGCCCTACCTCTTGTGATGAGTGGTATGTTACCTCTTAGATCTGAGCCCTGAGTACTTAGTACTTACAAAAAAAAACCCCATGCATATGCATATTTCATGCATATACTGAAACTAATGCTGCATCATGTCTAACTTCAGAGAAGTGAAATAGCCCTTTTCTGTTGCTGGAGCTTGTATTACCATAGCACTGTTTTAAAAAGGCAATTTTATGAGATACACTACTAACATTAAATGAAGGAAATATGGTGGGGCAGAATGCAAAGTTGAATAATTCATGTTAAAGGCCGATATAGGAAAAGATCAAAATAAGAGACGCCAAAATTTTAACAATAGCAACCCTTAGGTGGTGGGTTTATGAATGATTTTATTTGGGGTGGGGGCAGATATTGATATTTCAAGTATAAAAACAGAAAGGTTACCAGAAGCAATTAAATTTTCTCCTTTTCTCCTATATAGTTTGCTTCTCCTTCAGGATTGTATCAGATTTTCTGTATTTTATGTGCATTTAAATATACCGGAAGACTAATAGAGAGTTCAGGGCTCAAATCTGCGTATTTTATCTAGTCATTTGAGGGAGAACACGAATATCTGATTTCCCAATTTTGCTACAAGTTATTCGTACTGGCAACTTTTGCAATTCACAAATTAAACCCAGAAACTAACCGTGAGGTAAAATGAATTCCCTGAGATCAATTTTCAGCATTTTCTTTTTAAACTCAAATGTTGAAACGATTGGGTAAATGAAATTTGGTTAACAGTTCAGTTCAGTTCAGTCCCTCAGTCGTGTCTGACATTTTGCAACCCCAAGGACTGCAGCACGCCAGGCTTCCCCTGTTCGTCAACAAGTCCCAGAGCTTGCTCAAACTCATGTCCATCAAGTCAGTGATGCCACCCAAGCATCTCATCCTCTGTGTCCCCTTCTCCTGCTTTCAATTTGGGTACAGACTTACTCCACTCAGTATATAGTAGATACATCCCCTTCACTGGCACATCTGAGAAATGACTATATAAAAGAATAGGGATTCTGTAGCAATTAAGTACAGAATAAATTCACCTCTTGGATTTTTAAAAATTATTAATGGGAAGGCAAAAGTTATATAAGAGAAATTAATCAAAAAGAGCCACAACACCATGGACCAAACAAAAAGCTGGGAAAAGAAGTATGAAATTGGAAACTAAAGACTGAGATTTCTACATAGTTCTCTGCTCCTTTCAGCTCCTTTCTTCTCTCTGGAGGATTAGATACCCGTGATGGGTAAATGTACCACCCAAATTCAATTTTTGTATGTAAATCTAGTAATTTAGAAAACAAGAAAATGTTCAACTGTTGACACCCGACACCTTAGCAGTAAAAAAAACAGTAAAGAAAGAAATTTACCTTTCGAAGGATATCTTCAGCTAATGTGAGAAACGCCTTTTCGATGTTTATATTTGCTTTTGCACTAGTCTCAAAAAATCTAATACCATGCTCTCTTGCAATCTAAAAAAGAAGCAAAATATCACAAAATTATCAAGTATAGGTTACCAACTGATGACTTCAGCTTCCTAAAGGAAACAGTAATATTATTCCAAAGATAGCAGTCTCAACTAGGTTATCTAAAATGAACAGATTATTTTAATCAGTTCAAGCTCCTTAAAAAACAAATAGAAAATCCGCTCAAATGATAAGCTATCATTTTCAACAGCATTTTTTTCAAGGATATGAATAGCGTTCCATTACCTCTACTGTAAAAAAAATACATCATCTTCACAAAGATGTCTCACTCAGAACTTTTTACCTGTTCTCCTTTTCCTTTAGGTACAACTCTTTTATCGTCCATATCACATTTGTTTCCTAGTAACATCCTTTCCACATCTTCATTGGCATGCTAAAATGAAATAAAAGTTTAGTTCACACACTATCATAAAATTGTGGCTTAACAAAAATGACTTTATTTTTCTTACTTTATGGTGTCATTTCTAGTCTGAAAGTTTTAAAGCAGTGATCTTGTCGCTCAGTCATGTGACTCTTTGTGACCCCATGGACTGTAGCTTGCAGGGCTTCTGTCCATGGAATTCTCCAGGCAAGGAAAGTGGAGTGGGCAGCTATTCCCTTCTCCAAGAGATCTTCCTGACCCAGGGACTGAACCCAGGTCTCCCATATTTCAGGCAGATTCTTTACCATCTGAACCACCAGGAAAGCCCAGTGATTTCAAAACCACATGCTAAAAGACAACACAAATTCTTAAATTACCTAGAAAGATAAATACAATTTCTAAGACATATTCTTGGTCAAATTATTATTTTCCCCTATAGGAGGCTGTCTACTTTCTAGAAACATTCTCAACAACAGAGGACATGTATAAAATATGCAAAAGAGGACATATGGAACTTCTTATACAGAATGTAAATCCAAGCTGGATCATGACTTTAGATAATGTGTATTATGACCCTATAAGAAGCCTTAATTAAAAATTCTATAGAGCTCTTAAAGTCTCAAAAAGTCACAATGCTAGGGGAGTCCATGCAGAGAGATCAGATAAAAACAAATGTTGCTCCGCTGAAATCCTAATGACACCTTTTGCACAAAAAAAATTCCATCCTAAAATTCAAGTGGAATTTCAAGGGATCCCAAACAGCCAAAACAATCCTGAAAAGTAGTATAAAGTTGCAAGATTCATACTTATTGCTTTATTTCAAACCTTACTACAAAGCTGCACTAATCACAATAGTATGCTCCTGGTATAACAGACATGGGCAAAGGAACACAACAGAGAGACCAGAAATGAACTCTTGTGTACACCATCAAACGATTTTTGACAAGAATGCCAAGATCATTCAATGGGGGAAAACAGTCTTCTCAAGAAATAGTGTTAGAAATACCACATATCAACATGTAAAAGAATGAAATTGGATCTTTAACTTATACGCAAAAATGGACTAAAAAATCGATCCAAGATCTAAAACTATTGAACTCTTAGAAGAAAACATAGGGGAAATTTTTTATGACCTTGGATTTGGCAGTGATTTCTCAGATATGACACCAAAAGCATAGGCAACAAAAGAGAAAAAATAACTTGTACTTCATCAAAATTAAAAACTGTTTGTGTTCAGAGCACACAATTCTGTGGCTACAGGGATACTCAGGGAAAGGTACATTAAGCCAGAGATGAACGATGTGAGGTATTTTTCACATCCCATGGGTTGCCTTGTCATTCGGCTGATAGTGACACTGAGACTGGGTAGTTAAGTGTCAAAATAGGATTAAATTATAGGATATCGACCTGATGTCACAGAATTGGAAAATCAGTTGTTGGAACAATGCATAATCTCTCTATATAAATTGCTCTTACTACACATACTACTTGGCTCAACTATGAAATAAAGGCTTTTGTTGCTGTTGAGCAGTGGCCCAGTTGTGTCCGTCTCTCTGCAACCCGTGGACTGCAGCATGCCAGGCCTCCCTGTCCCTCACCATCCTCCAGAGTTTGCCCAAGTTCATGCTCACTGCATCAGTGATGCCGTCCAGCCATCTCATCCTCTGATGCCCTCTTCTCCTTCTGCTCTCAATCTTTCCCAGCATCAGGAACTTTTCCAATGAGTTGTCTGTTCACATCAGATGACCAAAACACTGGAGCTTCAGCTTCAGTCCTTCCAGTGAATATTCAGGGTTGATCTCCCGTAAGACTGAACAGTTTGATCTCCTCGCTCTCCAAGGGACTTTCAGGAGTCTTCTCCAGTACCACAGTTCGAAGGCATCAATTCTTTGGCATTCCGCCTTCTTGAAGGTCCAGCTCTCATAACTGTAGTGACCACTGGGAAGACCATAGCCTTGACTATAAGTAACTTTGTCAGCAGAGTATATCTCTGCTTTTCAACACACTGTCTAGGTTACTCACCGCTTTTTTATCAAGAAGCAATTGCCTTCTGATTTCATGGCTGCAGTCACTGTCCACAAAAGAAACTTAAAAATGAAGGCTTTTTTTGTTTCAAAGTCTATGTCATTAATGGATTACTAAATACCAACAGACTTCTTGTAGCAATGGAAAAGGTGACTGAAATTGGGAAACTGACATCAGGAAAGGAGTACATCAAGGCTGTATATTGTCATCCTGCCTATTTAACTTATATGCAGAGTACATCATGAGAAATGCTGGGCTGGATGAAGCACAAGCTAGAATCAAGACTGCCGAGAGAAATATCAATAACCTCAGATATGCAGATGACACCACCCTTATGGCAGAAAGCGTAGAAGAACTAAAGAGCCTCTTGATGAAAGTACAAGAGGAAAGTGAAAAAGATGGCTTAAAACTCAACATTCAGAAAACTAAGATCATGACATTCGGTCCCATCACTTAATGGCAAATAGATGGGGAAACAATGGAAACAGTGACAGACTTTATTTTGAGGGGCTCCAAAATCACTGCAGTTGGTGCCAGCAGCCATGAAATTAAAAGATACTTGCTCCTTGGAAGAAAAGTTATGACCAACCTAGACAGCTTTTTTTTTTCATTTATTTTTATTAGTTGGAGGCTAATTACTTTACAATATTGTAGTGGTTTTTGTCATACATTGACATGAATCAGCCATGGATTTACATGTATTCCCCATCCCGATACCCCCTCCCACCTCTCTCTCTACCCGATCCCTCTGGGTCTTCCCAGTGCACCAGGCTCGAGCACTTGTCTCATGCATCCAACCTGGGCTGGTGATCTGTTTCCCCCTAGATAATATACATGTTTCGATGCTGTTCTCTCGAAACATCCCACCCTCGCCTTCTCCCACAAAGTCCAAAAGTCTGTTCTGTACATCTGTGTCTCTTTTTCTGTTTTGCATATAGGGTTATCATTACCATCTTTCTAAATTCCGTATGTATGTGTTAGTATACTGTAATGGTCTTTATCTTTCTGGCTTACTTCACTCTGTATAATGGGCTCCAGTTTTATCCATCTCATTAGAACTGGTTCAAATGAATTCTTTTTAATGGCTGAGTAATATTCCATGGTGTATATGTACCACAGCTTCCTTATCATTCATCTGCTGATGGGCATCTAGCTTGCTTCCATGTCCTGCTATTATAAATAGTGCTGCAATGAACATTGGGGTGCACGTGTCTCTTTCAGATCTGGTTTCCTCGGTGTGTATGCCCAGAAGTGGGATTGCTGGGTCATATGGCAGTTCTATTTCCAGTTTTTTAAGAAATCTCCACACTGTTCTCCAAGCGGCTGTACTAGTTTGCATTCCCACCAACAGTATAAGAGGGTTCCCTTTTCTCCACACCCTCTCCAGCATTTATTGCTTGTAGACTTTTGGATAGCAGCCATCCTGACTGGCGTGTAATGGTACCTCATTGTGGTTTTGATTTGCATTTCTCTGATAATGAGTGATGTTGAGCATCTTTTCATGTGTTAGCTATCTGTATGTCTTCTTTGGAGAAATGTCTGTTTAGTTCTTTGGCCCATTTTTTGATTGGGTCATTTATTTTTCTGGAATTGAGCTGCAGGAGTTGCTTGTATGTTTTTGAGATTAATCCTTTGTCTGTTGCTTCGTTTGCTATTATTTTCTCCCAATCTGAGGGCTAGACAGCATATTAAAAAGCAGAGACATTACTTAGCCAACAAAGGTCCGTCTAGTAAAAGCTATGGTTTTTGCATTAGTATGTATGGATGTAAGAGTTGGACTATAAAGAAAGCCAAGTGCTGAAGAATTGATGCTTTTGAACTGTGGTGCTGGAGAACTCTTTTGAGAGTCCCTTGGACTGCAAGGAGATCCAGCCAGTCTACCCTAAAGGAAATCAGTCCTGAATATTCATTGGAAGGACTGATGCTAAAGCTGAAACTCCAATACTTTGGCTACCTGGTGTGAAGAACTGACTCACTGGAAAAGACCCTCATGGTGGGAAAGATTAAAGGTGGGAAGAGAAGGGGACGACAAAAGATGTGATGGTTGGATGGTATCATCGACTCTATGGACATGAATCTGAGTAAGCTCCGGAGTTGGTGACGGACAGGGGAGCCTGGTGTGTTGCAGTCCATGGGGTTGCAAAAAGTAGGACACGACTGAGTGACAAACTGAACCACTGTAGTGTCATCACCTTGGGTTTAATATTGGATTAAAGACTCGGTCTTTATGTTTCCAGCCAAAACTTGCTTTACAGAGTTAGTCTTTTTTTTTGTCCTTTTGCCATGATGGGATCTTAGCTCCCCAATCAGGGATGGAACCTGAGACCCCTGGAGTGGAAATGAGAAATCCTAACCACTGGACTGCCAGGGATTTCCCAAGAGTTAGTCTTGATAGAATTCAAAGCATAGAAGACAGCAAGAAAACATGAAAATAATTTCAACAAAAAGCTACCATGCTGTAGCACAGAAAACAAACATGCTTCAACATACAACTTTACTGTGTAAAACCTGACATCTTCCCTGGAGAAGGAAATGGCAACCCACTCCAGTATTCCTGCCTGTAAAATCTCATGGACAGAGGAGCCTGGAGGGTTACTGTCTATGGATTGCAAGTTGGACACAACTTAGTGACTAAACCACCACCACCAACACTGTTGTTACTAGGCAAGAGATTTGTGTCATATATGGAATAGTCTTGTAACAATCTCCTGGGACGGTAACTGCATGGTTAAAAATTTTATCACCCCTCCATGTGTGTGTGTGTGTGCAGACACACAATATATCATTTATATTACAAAAATAAATACAGATTAACATAAAAAAAAACAACCAACAAACTGACATCTTCACATGAAATGATACAGCACTATTTTCTTGGTTAGGTTTTTATCTTATTAGAAGTCTGTATCTTTCAAAATGTCTAAAAGGGATATGGTACTTCCTTAACTTAAAAATACTTACTGACTTACTTATTTTTGGCTGTACCGCCTATTTGTGGGATCTTCATTCCCTGACAAGGGATTAAATCTGGACCATGACAGTGAAAGTGCCAAGTCCTAACCCCTGGACCACCAGGCAATTTCCAAAAATATGTTTTAAAAATTACTACTGAAAATGTAATTCATTCATTCAAAAAAAAATTCACCAAGAAAGAATTCACTTAGAGAAGTCTGTAAAACCACTGGTAGCTTCCATCTGGGGACATCTTATAAGATAGCTGTACAGAGTTTTGGGGTTAATTTGTTAATTGCCCTTGACGGGATTCAAAACAGATCTGCCCAAAATTTTAAGAAAAGGGTAGGCAAAAAATAACATTACCATGTAACAAGTAAAAATACTCAACAATAATGATAGCAAACACTATATCCTAAAGATCAACAGGAATATTTATTCTTCTTAACCAAGGACACAAATGTGTGTTTATGTAGAGTTTATATAATTTCTAAGTCTTACCTCATCTATGTTTCTAAGCCACTTGCTGATGTTTTCAAAGCTTTTACCATTGGTGATGTCATATACTAGCATGATACCCATTGCTCCTCTGTAGTAGGAGGTTGTGATGGTGTGAAATCGCTCCTGGCCTGCTGTATCCCTGAAATAAACAGCCAATAATTTGTATTGAGCATTTTGATATTACTATGTTCTAGCTGAAGGGAAGGACAGTAGACTAGTTTGGCAAAAATAGAGATTAAAATCCACTATGTGACACAAAACACAAGCGAACCACCACTTATTTAACTCTGAAATAGTAAACAAGGTTATTCATAAACATATAAATACTGACTAGTCTAAGGAAACTAAAAACCTACCAATACTGGATGAAAATCTGAACGGGAAAACAGTATAAAGTGACACATAAATTCTTAAAGTTACTTAAAAATGAATACCAGCCAAATGTAAAATCTGTAGGAATTCTATTTATTTAGTGATCTAGTTCTATAATGTAATACAAAAGCATGTAGAATTTTTAGAACATTAAAGGAATACACCATATTAGAGCCATATTTATCTTTAGAATCATTTACAAAAGTTGTATAGATAACCTCATTTATAAATAACAAGACAAAAATATGTAAATAGTAGTATTTTTCAATGCCTTCAAACCAAAGATTTAAGAAATTCCGTTCCTGTAATTTCCCCCTCATTTGCATCACCAATTTCTTCTTTTTATGGGTTATAATTAACATATATACATGTTTAGGTCTCCCCTATCTTTTCTTAAAAAAGCAAACTTCAAACAAACAAAAAAACCTCACTTCCAATCCCACACCCCTCCAACTAACACGGAATTTCTGTGCCCCTTCCCAGCAAACTTTTTTTTTAAAGTTTTGTTTTAATATAACTATAGCCTCACAGGATGTTTCAGAAAACAGTACAAAGAGGTCCTGTATAGCCTTCATCCAACTTTCCCAAATGGCAACATCTTACATCATAGTACAAATTGACATTAGCACAATCTATAGACCTTAGAGTTTACTTTTGTATATGCACTTATGTATGCACATACATGTATTGTTCTCTGCAATTTCATGGCTTTTGCATTTAAACAGATGATATAGTTTCAATTAATTTTGGCATATATTATATATAATCTCACTTAAATGAAACATGCAGAATAGGAAAGTCTACAGAGATTAGTGGTTGCCCCAACTGAAGACGGTTTGGATAGGATGGGAAGAGGCTGCTAAAAGGTATGGGTTTCTTTCTAGAAGTATAAAAACATTCTAAAATTGTGATGATGGTGAATATACCTTGGGAAATTACTAAAAAACTAACTTCACATTTTAAATGGGTGAATTGTAAGGTATGTAAATTATACTTCAAAGTCATCACAAAACAAGTGGAAAACATGACAGTTTAAAATACAAACTAAACATACCAATGACGATTCATTATAACCACAACCAATTCCAAAACCCTTGCCCTCAAAAGTTTACAAAGTGTTAAAAGAATTTGCACTTTTCACTAGCCCCTCAAACTTTGAGGCACTCTTTTTCCCTGATAGCTTGAGCCACGTTTTTTCATGTCTCCAAATGCACAAGCTAGGTCTCACCTGACAGCTTCTGTATTGGCTATGCTCACAAGGGCACACACATACATGGTTGACACCTCATCTTTGCATTTTAACCATCACTTTATCAGAAGTCTTCTCTGTCCTCCAATTTAAAGTCTTCCAGTATCTCTCCATTCCACCTCCTTACTTTACTTCACTTCTCTGCAAAGCACTTATTATAGAGTTATTTACTGCCTCCCAGGACCTCTAAAAGGTAGGTCCCATCAGAGATTTGTCTTGTTCACTGTAGAATACACAGTATTTATTAAAAAAACTGCCCCGAAAATGTAATTTAATCAAAACAAATAAATATCATTTAAGAAAACCATCAAATAGATATGCAATCAGCTCTTCTATGTTGTATCCTAGAATTAGGTTAGACTACTGAGAGACTACACACATAAGAATTTGTATGTATGTATTTATATACATTCTTACACCACAATTTTTTATCTCCATTACCTCAATATTATGTCAAAACTACTTAGCTAAATTTAAATCAGTGGCATCTAGAGAGGAAATTTTATGTTATAACCCTGCTTAGTTATGAAACACTAATATAAAAGATACTGAAATATTAATGGCTCCTCCAAAAAGATAATCATTATTAAGGTTCTGAGTTTTTGTTTTGATTACTGGCATACTACTCCATCTGTTCTCTGATTTCTGTCTCTTCCATTTCCCAAAACTTCTTCCACCCTATCTTCCTTCTTTTTTATATGCTCTCCTTGTCAAGTCTTCTTAAATTATCCTTTTCCCGGATCCTAATACCAGCCCTAACAACTGTTAAGGCAATCAACAACTTACTTCAAACTAGATAGTCCCTGTCTCACTACCTCTTGGCTAATTGTGGCCCTTTGCCCAGGGGAACAAATAGCCCCAGCTGCTAATTCACAGTCAAATTATTTTTAGGTTTACATAGACACATACACCCAGGTCTAAAGACTGGTTGACTCCAATCACCAAAAGCAGGTGTTTCTTATCTGAAGAGCAATTATACATTGTGCATGTTCACATTATCTTTTATGTCCCATATTACAGGTTTTTTTAAGCCTGTTTTCAAAAACCACTCAGTTTTCCTCTCCTATTAAAATTTTTTTCTTCTCTGCCTACGTAGTATAATTAGGTTTCTGAACTTATTAATCAATGGCAATAGAATTTCCCTTACATAAAATAATAGGTGCACAGCTAAGAGACTGTTATAAAACCCTATTTTTTCCCACTGACACATAATGAAAGGAGTGATACATTCCTAGGAATGAAAATAGCATATTTCCTTAATAGTTTAGTCCCACACATAAGGTCAAGGAAGTTGTGTACTCTAGATGCTGTTATGACAGTTATTCTTAGTATGGGCACTAACAGCACTAGAGCAGCCCAGAGACAACATCAACCTGCTCAGCAAAGCAGAGACTTCAAATCTCATGACTTTATGCTTCTGGTAACATAATGAAGCTATTCCTTACTTTAAAAATTAAGACGCTAAATTTCTCACATTAAGTTTTTTTTTTTTTTTTTTAATTTTTTACCTATTTACGACTGTGCTGGGTCTTTATTGCTGTGCACCAGCTTTCTCTAGTTGTGGCGAGTGGGGACTACTCTCTAATTGTGGTGCACAGGCTTCTCATTGCAGTGCATTTCTCTTGTTGACGTTCCCAGGCTCTAGACCACAGGCTCAATAGTTGTGGTGCATGGGCTTAGCTGCCCGAGGCATGTGAGATCTTCCCAGATAATGGATCGAACCCGTGTTCCCCACACTGGCAGGAGGATTCTTTACCACTGGTCCACCAGGGAAGTCCACACTGAGTTTTATTTTAACAAGACTTGGATTTCCTCACTGATACGCAACTTCTCTACACCCAAAATACCATGAGTTGAAATTATGCTCATCTTCATCTTCCAAAAAGGGTCAAAAGTCAAACAAAGCCTGATAACTGCCCTTGAAGTGATTACATTCCAGTGGGGGAAAGGAACAAGTAATATATATGATCCCAAATTGTGACAAATGCTAACAAGGTAAACAGGGTGGAATGATCAAGAATGATGTAAAGGGGAGGGAGGAAGGAATCTAGATAGTATAATCAGGGCAGTCCTCTCTCTAGATGTGATGCTGAAGGTTGAGTGAAAAGTGAAGTATGAACAGAATCAGTCAGTCATTCAGTCAACAAATACATATTCAGCATCTGTATCTGCCAGGCTCTGTTGTAGGGAGTGATTATATAGCCACAAATCAGACAGGTGGGATCCCTACCTTCAAAAAGCTGATATTCTAATGGGGGGGAATAAGAATAAACACATTTTTAAAATGTGGTAAATTTAGACACTAAAAATACTGTGACAAAGATAAACTAAGATAAGCATGATCATGCCTAAAGCAGCGGCCACCAACCTTTTTCGGAACCAGGGACTGGTTTCATGGAAGACAATTTTTCCATTGACTAGGGGTGAGGTGGAGTGGGATTGGTTTGGGGATGATTCTCATAAAGATCAGGGAACCTAGATCCCTCACATGTGCATTTCACAGCAGGGTCTGTGCTTCTATGAGAACCTAATGCCTTCACTGATCTGACAGGAGGCAGAGCTCAGGATGCTAGCGATGGGGAGCAGCTGTAAATACAGAGGAAGTTTCCCTTGCTCAACCACCCACACTGATCCCTTCTTGCTGTGCAGCCCAGTTCCTAACAGGCCAGAGACCAAGGTCAGGGGGGTTGGGGACCCCGAGCCTAAAGGACTGGGGTGGCTTTAGCTAATTATCAAGCAGGGCCTCTCTCAGAGGTACCAATGAACTGAGATTGAATTAGAGACAGCAGCATCACAAAGATCTGATGAAAAGCATTCCAAGCAGAAGGAACAGGTGAATTACAAGGGCCTGAAGACAGGAACATGTTTCTTGCAGACGGGAAAAAATGGTCACAGTGGCTGGAGCAGAACTGGTAAGAGATGAAGTCAAAAGGGGCTGTAGCCAGAACCTGGAATTTTAAAATTTACTTCTGTTGAAATGAGAAGCCTCTGGAATGGAGTGGTACTTCAGAATGCTTAGTCTAGCTAGTTGGGTGGGTTAAACGGGGATCTACAAGGTATGTACAAAGGCCAGAAAAAAAAGCTTGCTGTGTTGATGGAACTGAAAGCAGATCACCTGAGGGTAGAGACTATATACACAGGGAGCAAAAAATGAGGTCGGAACAACAGGCAGGGGTCTACTCTGTAAACTGTGGAAACGAACTTGGATGTGGAACTTCGGTTTTCATTCGAAATACAATGGAAAGTCAAAATGGCTATAAATAGAGGAAGGAATGACAACCATGATCATATTTATATTTGAAAAAGGTTACTAAGGCTATTACTTGGGAAAAGTACTGGAAGAAGGCAAAGGCGAAGTAAAGACTTGTTAAAATATTAAAAGCCCACTGCAATGGCCCAAAGAGGTAATGGAGGACCAGGGATTGCAATAGGGACAGCAAACTGTATTTGGATTCCAGACATATTTTAGACATAGGATCAGTAAGACTTGCTAACTTAAAAGCTGGGGTTAAGGGAACGGGAAGACTCAAAGATGACTTCCATGAATCTGACACTTCATGTAGGTATAAACGGTTAATTCCTCTACAATATGATACTACTGGTTTCTGGTCACCGTGTTGATGCTAAAATGTGTTGCTGGTACAAGATGTAGATGTTGACAGTGGCAAACATTTCTGACACCTCCCCTCCCTCAACAATAAAAAAAAAGAAAAAGGCAGACTTGTAATAACTCACTGTAACTGTTTCCCTAACTACTCTGGAAAATATAGTTAGCCAAAGACACTTCAGTAGAAACTTTCTAGAGATCCAAGATTTAAAAAGCCACAGCTGCTTCTCTATCAGCCAAACAAGCTAATTTTAGGCCCACACACTTGTGCAGGACAGGTGAGACCCTTATGCAACAGTTAATCTTTCCAGATTCCTGGAAAGAAAGCAAGAAGTGAAGATCACTCAAGTAAGAAAAATAAGACACAGCTTTAGTAGCACAGTCTAAAGAGAGTTTCCAAAACAAGTATTCAATCATAGAACAATTTTTCATGCTGAAACAAGAACCTGAATATATTCATTCAAACTAAAGAGAGAGAAAAATCACTGTGCTTTTTTTGTAGCACAGCATTTTGAAGCAAAGCATTTAAGTTGAGAATAGCCTTTTGACTTTTTAGAACCATTATAAATTGTGAGTAATGGGGTTTTTCACACTAAAAGCCTTCTTGAAACACTGTGCATATCCCAGATCTTTTAACCTAGAGCTACAAGATTATTTTTCCTCCCTGGCATATTAACAAGCACGTCAGCTCAAGCAAAGAAATAAAATCAGCTGGCATAATGCTAACCTCTTATTTTAACCAGTCAACTCTTTTCTGGTCTTTATAAGCAAATGGCAGTTCAAATTAAAAGCAGTCAGCTGTATACATGAAAATCTAAACTACAGCAAATTTTCCTTCCAAAGTGTTTGGAAGGAAACAGAGGTTCTACTAAAATTTTGTTAAAAATTAACTCTAAATTATAAATGTTATCACTTCTGTGCTATACTTGAGTCTTATAGAAACAGTAGTAATCTTTTCTATATCAATCTTGAAAGCTATACTGGAAGACTTACTATTTCAAAAAAGCATCTTCTGAGGAAGGCTCTTTTTAAAACTAAGTATTAGTTATATGTTACACTTCTAAAAGCCAGAGAATAAAATGATGAGGGGAGGGGAAAATGTTTAAAGTCACGAGTCAAGAAACAGAAGGGAAAGTCTGTGGTGGACACAGTGTACAGGAGAAACAACACATTTAGCAGGGCAAAGGTTTTATATACTGCATGAAGAAAAATATATACAGGTGTGTGCTTTTGTTATGTACACACTCACATATAGGTGCATGTATACTGAGTCACAATGTAATATGTATCTTAACTATTGTCAAAAAGTTTGAAAATTATTAGCTTAAACACTAATTGTATAGAGGGGATACAGTTAAGAAGAGAGCCAATCAGTGTGGCAGAGCTTCAGAGAGGGCTTGAAAGACAAATATTTTGTAGGGACATGGTCTGAATAAGACCCGAGGCTAAGAATAAAGGAGGATGGGAGGGACTGGTTGAAATTCAGAATACTAAATAACTGACATCTTTTCCCTTGAGATCATTTTAATTATAATGAAATTATATATGAGACATTTCATTTGCTGAGTTATTTCCTAGCTAAAGAAAAAGAAAAAAAAAAAAAAAACAATGATCAAGTGGACCGGGCTTCAGAGAACTATTAAATTTAGAAAATGCTTTCTAATCTTTAAAAACATTTGTATTAAACTTGAAAGATGTTACAAAGATTGAACTTCTAATTACATGGTCAGGTAATGAAGACATCCTGGTTAGACATATACCACTTCTAATTATACCTAACTTTTGAAACTATCTTTTGGATTCTGAGACAATGTCCTCTCCTAATTCTCCTTCTAACTCTCCAACTATGACTTTGCAATTTCCTTTGTTAGCTTGTTCCTCTACTCAAATATGTTACTACTTTTAGGGTTCTAAACTCATCATGGGAGATCCCCCAATAATAACACCTGATTTCTTGAATTATGCACTGGAGATTGCTCCAAGCGGTTTACATGGACCACTAATCCTCATAACCATTCCATGATAGATTCAATTACAGTAACTACCAAAGATAATGAACAAGTGAAGTTGCTCAGTCATGTCCGACTCTTTGCAACCCCATGGACTACAGCCCACCAGGCTCCTCCATCCATGGAATTTTCTAGGCAAGAGTACTGGAGTGGGTTGCCATTTCTTCCTCCAGGGGATCCTCCCGACCCAGGGATGGAACCTGGGTCTCCCAAATTGCGGGCAGATGCTTTACCCTGAGCCACTAGGGAATCCCAATTACCAAAGATAACATGAGTTCAAATTTAACACAACTGTTGACTGGCAATGAAGCAAGAAAAATGACAAGTTACTGGAAAGAGTGGCAAAATCAATCAACAAACTACTATTTAGAAGAGGCAGTATTGCAATTAAGAATGTCACTCTCAACCCTACGTTCAGAGCATGTAATGCCTCCCAGCTCTGCTATTAACATTCTGTAAGACCTTTATTTAAACTATTTTGAAATAGTTTTTCATTAAAAAAAAAACACAAAACTATTTTCAGAAACTATTTCAAAATGCCTCCATCTCTTTATCTATAAAATAGGAATAATTCAAGAGAAAAGGAAGCACTTGTAGCAGCTTTATGGTGAATAAAGTTGTTGTGATATATCTTAACAATGGAATACGACTTAACAATAAAAAGTAATGAACTTACTGCTACACATAAAATCATTGATAGCTTTCAAAATAATTATGCTGAGTAAAGAAGCCAGACTCCTCCTTCTCAAAAAAGAAAAAAAAAAAGACAAAGAAAAGTAACACATTATATGATTGCATTTGTATACAGTAGTAGAAAATGGAAACTGGTCTATACTGACAGAAAGCAGAGAGTGGTTGCCTAGGAGCCAGGGATAGGCAGGAGGGAGAGATTACTAAGAAGTTTGAGGAAACTTGTGAGGTGATGGATATGTTGGTTATCTTGATTGTGGTGATGGTTTCACAGATTTAGACATATGTCAAAGCTTACCAAACTGTATACTTTAAATACGGGTGGTTTACTGTATACTAGTTATACCTCAATAAGGCTGGGGGGCGGGGGGGGGGGGGCGCGGACCCACAGGAATAATATACATCTCACAGGTCATTGTGAACACCTAATATTCACTGAAAAATACAGATATTATAATTTTAAAGTCTATGATACATACTTGAATGCAAATTTAAAGAATTTTTTTGTACTTCAATGGGTCAAACCCTATACAAACTAATGAAAATGCTAAAGCCTATAAAAATTTATACACACTAAAGAAAACAAATGTTTTAGCTTAAGACCCTCTAAACCGAAAAAAATATGATATTAATTTTTATATGGTGTTTCTGAGCCAAATACTGTGCTAAAGGCATTACATAGATTACTTCATGTAATCCTTGTAACAATATTTTAAGATAAGTGATATTATCTCCACTTTACATGTGAAGATATAAGGGCCTCATGGTGGTATGTAACTTACCCAAGTTCATACTGTAAGTGGAAAAGGTAAAACACTCTAATCATCTCTCATGGACTCCAAAGTCCATGACAATTTTTTTTTAAAACATCACTGACTGAAAGGTCACCTGACTACTGACTTGGAAAGGGAAGTCTCCTAGAATTAAACAGTTGACGAGGAAGGATTTCACTGCCTAACCTTCAAGAAAGTTGGCATTCTACTACATTAAGTAAGTAAATTAGAATCACTTACCATATCTGTAGCTTGATCTTCTTTCCTTGTAATTCAACTGTTTTGATCTTAAAGTCTATTCCTACAACACAGGAAGAAAAAAAAAAGGTAAATTGTATCTATGGCTCTGAATGTGGCTATACTAAATTTAACTGGCATAAAAACAAGCTTCCAAAATGTTTGCTTCTGGAAATTTACTATGTATACAATTTTGAGCAAAGTGCCCAATTTAAAACCTATGTAAGATAGGTTACAAGATAGAAAAGACAGAAAAGAAAGAATTATATAGCTTTTTTACAATTAGGAAATTTAAAGAAAATGTTAATATCTAATATTTTAATGCAAAAGAATAAACAGATGTTTCCTTATTAGCAAAAAAAATCATCATCTTCACTAACTTACAGAAAAGAGTATTATCAGGGATAAACAGGGTCATTTCATAATGATTAACATGTCAATGAATTAGAAGGCATAAAAAATATTATATGTTTATGCATCTAGTAACACAGAGTTTCAAAGTACATGATGCAAAAGTATTATAGATCCCCAAGGACCTGTCTCGCTCTTTTACCAACTAAATCTTCAGCTCGGCCCTTTCAATTTGTTTCCTAGACCCAATCAAAAGGAAAAAAGGGCCATTTGTCTGACATTTATAAACCTCAAACTATATCTACAGCTTGTATTTTTGTTTTTCTGGGAATTACTGAAAAAACCATCCTAAAATGACCTGGCTGTCAACTCTGAACAAGACTGATCCAACTAACCCAATGAAATATAAACAAGCAAACAAAAAAGGAAACCCGGAGGAAACAGAGGCAATGCAGAGGAAAAGATACAGTTCCTTTTATCTTCTCAGAACAAGACGGAAGGGAAGGAAGTGGGGAGGAAGGAACAGAAATATGAACTAGAAAATTCCTGGAAATTAAAAAGGCAGAAATAATATATTCAACAGAAAGGCTGTAAGGGAAAAATGAGATCTCCCAGAAAATACAACAAAACACAAAGAATGGAATGTATGTGAGACTTGACAAGGCAGAAGATCAAACCAGGAGGCTGACATCTAACTCAGAAAGTTCAAGAAAGGACTTCCCTGGTGGCTCAATGGTAAAGAATCCGCCTTCCGATGCAGGAGACACGGGTTCAATCCCTGACCCTGGAAGATCCCACATGCTTCAGAGCAACTAAGCTGGTGCAGTATAACTACTGAGCCGGTGCTCTAGAGCTCAAGAGCCACAACTACTGAAGCCCAAGCCCCTTAGAGCCCATGCTCTGCAACGAGATGCCACCACATAGAGAAGCCTGTGCACCACAACTAGAGAGTACCCCTTACTCGCCATTAACTAGAGAAAAGCTCACACAGCAACAAAGACTCTATGCAATGACAGAATCAAAGAAAGAGAATCAAAGGAATCTGAGACTGAAAGACTCACCAAGCGCCTAGTATAATGAATAAAATAATATCTATACCAAGTTATACCATCATGAAATTTCAGGGCTAAAGATACGTTTCAGGAATAATATATACAAAAGCTTGTAGAGAAACAAACTAGGCCATATTAAATAATCAAAAACAGCTCTGAGCAACTCAACAACACTAGAATCCAGAATATAAAAAGGTAAATAAAAAGTATTTTCAATCTATATCCAGCCAAAATCAAATGAGAGAGTAAAATAAAGGTATCTTCAGACATGAAAGATCTCAAAATATTAGCTCCCATGTATTTTCTGAAACACTTACGAGGAGAGGTTGCTTTACCAAGAATAGGAAGAAAAGAAATCCAGCAAAGAGAGTGATGGAGGGAATTCCCTGGAAGTCCGATAGTTAGGACTCTGTGCTTTCACTACCGTGGCCCAGGTTCAATCCCTGGTCTGGGAACTAAGTTACTGAAAGCTGCATAGCATGGCCAGAGGAAAAAAAAGATTGATGTAAAGGGCAGTTCAAACTGGCCAAGAGAAGCCACCAGTTCAGAAGAGAATGACGACAGAAAACAAGACAAAATGCAGAGAAAGGGTCCAAGACATATGCCTCCTAAGATGGAAGGGAATGAAATGGTATGACTGAAATTTAAATGAAAAGAAGAATTCAGAGAGTCTGGTAATTCTGTTGCAGAGTTTGGGATAAAGTATGAATAGTCCCTTGAAATCTAAGCAAATGTAACAATGAAGGGAACTGCAAGCTACAGTGAAAACAGAAAGCTGTCCAAGAAAGGAAATGCAATTATAGTACACCACTTGGCTTAGCAGTCAACATGTGTTAAAACAGGTGGGAGGGAGGATCGGGATGGGGAAAACATGTAAATCCATAGCTGATTCATGTCAATGTATGGCAAAAAACACTCAATACTGTAAAGTAATTAGCCCCCAACTAATAAAAATAAATGGGAAAAAAAAAAAGAAAAAAGAAAAGAATGAAAAAAAAATGTGTTAGAACTATTTGAGAAGATAAAGGGAGAGGTGCCAACAATGTCTCGTATTATTAGAGCTCATTTCTCACATTCCGTAACAACAAGAGAAAATTTCTTAAATTAGCTTTTTTTTTTTTTAGTGGAATATGGGGTTGAATATCAAAAGATAAAACCAAAAAATGTTTGGGAAAGGTTAACACACAAGTGAGCATGGAGCAAGGATTTATTGCTGCTGCTGTTGTCACCAGTCTTGAAGTACTATGTAACTTCTAAAACTCTGCAAGTATTTATTACATTAATAGAAATAAAAATTAGGTTAACAGAGGAGGACGTATGTTTACAAATGTTCTCTCTACTGTGCAAGCACTCCAATTTGATCACCAAATTTCTAGCACGGCACCAAGCCACCCCTACTGTCTCACTCCCTCCAGTCTTCTAATAGTCACTCTCAAACACAACTTTTACAACTGTGCACTTTTCTAATACCTTTGTGACGCACTTTCCACACCCCCAAACATAGGTTGGGAAAACCTACACTTGAAGACAAAGCAGAAAAGTTTTTGATACAATTTGATCAGAGCAGAATTGATAGCTCAGCTGCCAAGGGAAGCTAGGAAAACCTATCATCCTTTAAGATTTTGCCAGGAGGAATCAGATTCTCCTGCAACACTATCATTTCTTAAATTACCACAGACTAGAACAGAATGATAGGGTTTGATTCAACCAGAGATTTGTCTCCAGGTTTTGCTTACGTAAAAACATACTAGAGGAAATCCTCACTTTTTACAGATTCCTGGGATCCAGTTCAAATGGGTATTTCAATTTACCACAGTCTAGCTCATTTATCAATTTTCAGTTGCTCAGGAAAGTGAGAAACAGTATCAGCCGAAACATTTGCTTTAATGATGCTACAGAAGCACCATCCAATGGCAAGAAAAATAACTGCAACTTCTAGTCACTATAAAGAGTAGTTCTCCAAAGCTTGGCTTCTGATGACACATCAATGGTAATTAACGCAAGTAGAAATAACCTATATAATAAACTCCAGACAACAAAAATTTAACAACTTATAGCTAAATAATCAGTATCTGTGGTTTTTACAAGTGAAAATCAAGAGTTTACATCACACCAGGAGAGGAAATAAGAATTGTACACCTGTAATCCTTTGAATGTAGCTTAGTCTGATATAAGATCAAGGCTAGTCATAACAGCACAAATTTTGAAAAGGATACTTTCCAATATGCACATTAGCTTCTTTATCAGGATGCAAATATGAAAATGCAAAATGCAGGAAAGTTCCCTCTAAGATCCTTTCATTTAATAGTAATAGCTTAGTAAACACTTTGAAAATTCACAACACACTAGGTACTGTTTTAAGCCCTTTGCATGGATATCTCATTAAATCATCAGAACAATTCTAGTCCATACTATTATTTCCATTCTACCAATGGAGAATAAAATCAAAACCAACAGCAGCAGCAAAAGTAAAATCAATTAACACTAATATTTACTGGATAATTATTAAGTATTCTAAGCATTTCACATGTAATATTTCATTTAATATTAACAAAAGTCCTGATAAAGTACTAACATGCCTATTTTTAAAAAATTCCATTTTGGCCATGTGACACAGCTTTCAGGATCTTAAGTTCCCCAACTGGGGATTGCACCTGGCCCCTGGCAGTAAGAGTCCTAAGCACTAGACTACCAAGGAATGTCCCTAACATGCCTATTTTACAGCAAAGAAAACATAATAGTAATTTACTAAAGGTCACAGAATTAACAAATGGTAAAAACCAGGACTCAATTCCATGTCTGTTTGACCCCAGGCCATACACACTCTTAACCATTTTTCTATCAAGGGTAAAATTCACGTAACATAAAATTTACCATTTTAAAGTGAATGATCCAGTGTATTCACAATATTGTGTGACCAGAACCTCTATCCAGTTCTAAACACTTTCATCATCTCAGAAAGAAACTCCATACCCATTAAGCAGTGGCTCTCCATTACCCCACCCCCTACTCCCCTGGAAACCACCAGTCTGCATTCTGTCTCTATAGATTTTGGGTATTTCATATAAAAGAAAGCATGTAACATGTGACCTTTTGTGTCTGGCTTCTTTCAGTTAGCATATTTCCAAGATCCATCCACTTGTCACACGTATCAGTACCCCATTACTTTTTATGACTGAATAATATTCCACCACAAGCATATAGATCATAAATTGCTTATCCACTCATCTGGTGATGGACATTTGACCATGTCCTCCTTTTTGGCCTTGGTAAAGAATACCCATGAATATGCATGTACATGTGTATATACCAGTACCTGTTTTGAATTCTTTGGGTTATACACAAGGAGTGGAATTTCTGAGTCATGTAGTAATTTTAGGTTTAACTTTATGAGGAACCACTGTTTTCCACGGCAGCTGAACCATTTTACATTTCCACCAGCAATGTATGAGCATTCAACTTTTCTACATCCTAAAACTCAACATTCAAAAACTAAGATCATGGCATCTGGTCTCATCAATTCATGGCAAACAGATGGTGGAAAAATGGAATCAGTGGCAATTTTATTTTCTTGGGCTCCAAAAATCACTGCAGATGGTGACTGCAGCCATGAAATTAAAAGATGCTTGCTCCTTGGAAGAAAAGTTATGACAAACCTAGA